TGACTATCCTATAATTCTGCAGTCAGTGGACTCATCCTGCAAACCCAGGTGAGTGGACAAAGTAATTTATTGGCGGAGTGTATCTTCAAGTACAAAAGAGGAGGGTGACTATGAGATGTGGTGAGGTGGGCAAAGCTCCCCTGGAATTTCCACCAGGGTGACAGATGGTGTGGAGCATTGAGAGGTTCAGGCCACTGCTGAAGCCTAGCTATTAAAAAATCAGGATTGCAAAAGCAGCCCTGGAACAATTGCTTTTATTTAAAGAGACAATGCTCCTGATGATAACACAAAACTTGCATCAGACAAAGGAGATACCATCAAGGAGAAGTTTGGAGAACTAACTCACACTGTGTCAGGTAAACGCTTTTGCTGCTTCATAAAAGGGACCACTGGAAGAAAGAGACTTTGAAAGCGGACAGCATGGGTTTGAACCCTATCCCTGCCACTTCCTAGGTATTTGGCCTTGGGTGAGTTTTCTGAGATCCAGCTTGTGTATCTATAAAATGAGGATAACTGTGGTTTTTACACAGAAGCACTCAGTAGCTGTTACTGTACACTATATATAATAAACATTTATGAATAGCAAATACATTCCCTATTATGTATAAATAATATGTAAAAACATATGATAAAAGAAAATAGTGGTAATTCTATGGTAGAGGCCTATAAAATTTTCCTTTTCTCTCCATTGTTAGCTCCCAGCTAAGAAGTGGGTCAAGGATTTGTGCTCAGACCATGTCTCTCCTCAAGTTATGAGCTCTTTTCTCCATTTTTTTAGTAGGAAATGGATCGGAAGGGCTTTACAATATATATTTTTTAAGTGTAGCCAGGCATAGTGTCTGCATGCCTGTAATCCCAGCAGCTCAGGAGACTGAGGCAGGAGGATCTCAAGTTCAAAGCCAGCCTCAGTATAAGTGAGGCCCTAAGCAACTCAGTGAGACCCTGTCTCTAAATAAAATATAAAATAGGGCTGGGGATGGGGCTCATGGGTTGAGTGCCTTTGAGTTCAATCCCCGGTACCCACCCACACAAATTTTAAGTTTATATAATTTCTTTATGATTTCTGTTGGTACATTATAATTATATATAATAGTGGGATTTTTTGTGACATAATCATCCATGCTCATAATTTGATCAGTCTCATTCCTCAGTACCTTTCTTTTCCTTCCTCTCCTCTCCCAACTCCTTTTCTCTATAAGTCTCCCCTCTATTATATTTAAATTAGTGTATTATATATAAAAGTGGGATTCACTTTGGTACATTTGTATATGGACACAGTGTAATTTAGAGGATTTCACTCTCCACTATCTCCTCATGCCTTTTCCCCTCCCTTCTTCTTCATTCCAAGAAGGGATTTTAGAATTTCTATGTCATGAGAAATCTGAAGCTTTTCTCCAACACAATAATTTCTTTCACATATTCTACTATCGTCCTAAAAACTCCATCGATTTCAGTGAGAACCTTATAAAGCAAGCAGTTACTATCCCTGCCCAACCTTCCTTATTCAAAAAGTCAGGTTCCTCTTCAATGACAAGAAAATACGTTTCTGTTTAGGCAGAATGGGATGTCTCTATGGGGCACTCTTTGCTTAACTGAATGCTCGAATTTCATTTCCAGGATCCTGAAACACTCTGTCTGTAGTCTGTGTTTGTCAGCTTCTCATCCCTGGGACCCAAATTCATGACTTCAAAAACTCAAAGAGGAGGAAAAGTTTATTTGGGGCTCAAGGTCGCAGAGACTCCGTCCATGGTGAGCTGACTGCGTTCCTTTGGGCCTTGAGTGAGGCAGAACATCCCAGCGGAAGAGCCTGGTGGAGGAAAGCAGCTCTGCTCCTGGCAGGAAGTGGAAGTGGGGGGCAGGGGGGAGAGAGAGAGAGAGAGAGAGAGAGAGAGAGAG